ACAAAATAGATTTTCCACTTGTTAAAAATTATGTTAAATTGTTTCAACATAAACGAATTCCACCGTCAATGCAGCAATTGTTTATTAACATATATAGCACTACATGTTTCGAGCCAAACGGGTCATTCTCATGTACTGCAAGTCTCACATATTCAGCTACTGAACTGCATTTATATACATATCGTTCATAAAAGGTTGCTTTCTATACATATTCAATTCATCAACTGGACTAGACTAGACATTGATTCAGCAAGAATTATACATGTGATTAAACAGTAAAAATAACAATTAGGTTAAAACTAAATCCCAAATTGGTTCTTAAGATTGAATATGTGAGATTTTCAGCACCTGAGGATGTCTCGTTTGGGTCGAAACATGTAGTGCTCTATATGTTAGTAAACATTTGTTGGGTTGACGGTGGAATTTATATATGTTGACTGTATACACGCAACAGGATACAAACTTTTAAAAATATGTTAAATTCTTCCCATAATGTACAAATAAATAGCAGCAAAATATTTCATACAATTAAATTAACATACCATAAATTCTCTCACACTGTAAAATTTCTTGCATCGTTGAAAAGTATGTCAAGACTCAAACAATTTTATGCTATAGACTAAGATTTTCTTTTCTAAGTTATGGCATTCTTTATTTGGTACCTGTTTACCAATCTTCTAGAAGAAACTCTTGCCTACATGACCAGGGAACAACTGCCATGAAGAAGGAAGCAATACGTTTCTTCGGAACGTTGGTAAGCGCATACCAATCACAGATGTCATAATAGAGAAGGCGACAGTTTTAATATTCTACGCTGTGAAAACCTCAGATTTAACATTTACATTGTTTACAAATAAGTAACATGTACTGTATACATGCATATGCCTCTCCAGAGGCGCAGTTCACTACAAAATGGCTACGTGATTATCCAGCTAACCACAGTGATAAAATTACTCTGTGCTCCTGAATTTATAAAATATAAAGCAAAAGAATAATTAATCAAATTCTAAACTATATTTTGAAGAAAACATATCCATAAAAAATTAATTATCATTGGTCCTCTTCGATGTCTCATTTACCATGATATGGTTACTTCAAATTTTATGTTATAAATTCATACACTATACAATATTCATGTATTAGGCATAAAGCATACTCATGAAACGAAGAAATTTACTTGTAAGAAACACATTAATCAATTCATATAAATACGGACAAATAATATAATTTGGGTATGGAACTAGGTAATTTTTGTATATGATATTAGGTAACTAATACCATGCAGCAGTCCTTCTTGACAAGCTGACTGTCAATCAGCTACTCAGAAAATTATCCACCTTTAATGAAACTCGAAAGTTCATTACCGTGTTCACAATAGCTGGCCAAAATATCCTACCCTAAACCGGATGAATTCTGTCAAAACACACCCATTTTATGTTTTTAAGATTCATTTTAATATTAGGCCTATTCTCCCATCTACGCCAAGATCTTCCGAATTCTTTTCTTCCTTCAGGTTGTCCAACCAAAGTTTTCTATGTATTTATTATTCTCCTCAGCGTGCTATGCTCTTCAAATCAATTGATAATATCTTGTGAAAAACAAATATTATTGAGATGTTCATTACGCAGTTTTCTTCAGCCTCTTATTATTTTCTATTTCGTATATTCGAATATTGCTCCAAACTTCCTCAAATTCTCTAATCCTGTTCTTCCTTCAACGCGAAGGGTGACGTTCAAACCCACAGAAAATAACGTCCTAAACTGTAGTTCTGTGTACTCACGTTCCTTAGGCACATGATAGCAATATCAGTATCATGTGGTGGGGAACAAAGAAATGAGCGACACACACACTTTCTAGCCGTTTGGCATTCTCTTAGTGCTCTCTCTTCATAATACAGCTATAGATATCAACATTCGAAGACAAAATATTTTTCGCGGGCACCAGGCAAGAATTTATTTCAGAAATTTGTATACGCTTCAGTTTTTTTTTTTTGCGTTAGCAAAGCCTTCTCGGAGATTAATAATTGACAAGGACATAATGAGTTACTTACCAACTAACATCTAAAACAAGTAGTTACTATAGGATTCTGACGATTGTGTATAACACGCTGATATATTGGGGTTTTGGACTTTATCCATCGTCCTGGTTTTTAACTAATAAAAATTAGTTATCTTAAAAACCAGGACGATGGATAAAGTCAAAAAACCCAATATATCAACATCTAAAACGCATGTGAATTTTGCCCCATATGAAGGCAATGGGAATTTGATATTTCAGGCATATGAATTAAAAATAATAGATATCAAAAATATATCTGAAATAAATACTGTCAATTTATAGCAATAAAACGAAATCGTTCGTTTAGTGAAATGGTTATTAGGCTTAAAATAGATCAAAATTATATAATACACACCTCAGAAATTTTTCTAAATATCACTGTAGGTTCAGTTAGTTCTGAGGGTTTATGTCGTGACGCTGTCAGCATCTAGCTTACATAGTGTCCAACAGAAGGATGACTAGTGAATGATAAATTGGAAGGGATTTGAAGGGATGTGGTTGTAACCTACTAAAATTAGTACATCACCATTTTCCTGGAAGGTCTGAATAAAAACACGAAAAATCTCAGTATGGACAGACGGTATACTGACCGAGATTCCAACTGAGAACATGCATAATATGAGTCTACAGCGTTACCGTTATTGTAACCCGCTCGGTTTAATGTTATTATATCAAATAACAACAGAATATAAAAGAATATAAAGGAACTCGATAGATTGTAAATTAAATTTTCTTTTGGATCTTCAAGTTTATCAGTCTTTATTAAATAAACCACATATCAGATTATCTTCTTTAGAACATTTCTTAAAATTTATGATACCATGATCAATAAGTTACATACATAGTGAAGAAATAAAACTTTATATTTAATATTAACAAGACATGGGATATTGTTATTACGTAATACGAATACCATACACATAAGGGACAAGCATCGCTACAGAAAATGTTTACTCATTTAAAGATGAACTTCCCCTGTACTCACAGCCGCATGAAAATTATCTGAAGTCAAGTAGCATGAAATATATTAGATTTACAAGTAATTAGTAAACCTGTTCTACGAAGCTGGATTTGAGGTTTTCACAGTGCCGACTATAAAGAATGTTTGGGGGCGATGTGACATTGTGTTGCCTGGTAGAGGTTCACCGACGTTTCAGAGGAATCTACTGCTTCAATTTTCAGAGTTGAAGTCTAAGTCAAGAGCATAAGAAACATGCTGAGGGAGCCAAAATTGGAAAACATGGTTACATATTAACATGAGCAGGAAAGAAGTAACCAATTGGAGCACGCGTATAGGATATTGGTGGGATAGCCAGAAGGAAAGACACCGTTGGGAAGAATAAGGTGTAGGTGGGAGGACAATATTAAAATGGATCTTAAAGAGATTGGATGGGATTGGTTTGATCTGGCTCAGGATAGGGACCAATGGAAGGCTCTTGTGAAGATAGTAATGAACCTTCGGGTTCCATAAAATGCCGGAAAATTCTTGAGAAGCTGCAGAATTGGCGGCTCCTCAAGAAGGGCTCAGCTCCATGAGCAAGTAACCGATAGGAGCAATAAGAGAAGTATGTGGCCATTAGTATGACCGTATTGCTGAAATTAAGAAATTGGACAAGGCGGAAGACAAAAATGGCACGAGGGTACTGTTCGTGTTAAAGGTGGACAGGGAGGAAAACAGGGGTTGTAGATAATGCGGTGGGGGATGATAGGAGAGACTGCAACTTATACCGGACTACACGATGTCACATCCCATATGACAGTATCTTTTTCTACGAAAAACTTTTTCATTCGTAATTTAATCATGTCTCAATATAACTTCCTCTCGTAATGTCTGTAGCCTGATCACATGTCATTGTGCTTTGCAACATGGCATTCGACTAGTTTAAAAATATTTAAGTGGATAACAATAACACATAAATGTTATCCATGACAGATTGTTTAAAAGTTCTGGGTATCAGAGTTTGTACTCGTTCTTTCGGCGTTTCACATCAGCGTTTAAAGTTCACTAATGAATGAGAAAACTTTCTCATGTAATTACACCTGACGTTACCTCAACTCTTAGCTTAAAGATTGTGTGGAACAGGAACTTGCACATGCGCAGTCGCTTTCCTTCTCTTGGTTATAAAAACAAATGAATTCACAGAACATGTAGAGTCATCGTTTTTCTTTTATAGAAGAGTTATACATAAACTGAAGACGATTTTAAAAACAGTCTCTGTATTAAAGGTCCATATTTTTGCGTATCCATATTTTAAGAATATAAGGCTTACTTGTATTATATTTCAAAGACGTAACAGGTGCATATACCAATCAAGCACGGTAGTCTGTAACAAAATTCTAACAATATCGCATTTTAAATTAGTCTATTGTGAATAATTACAACAAAATGTGTGAAAATGAGGTATTCGGTATAAATAATTGTAATTAGTTACTTATGGCTTAATTGACAAGTAATAAACAATTTAATTAAATTAATTTCAATTTAACACGATTACACCAGGGTTTCTGAACATTTTTCAAAATACTTCTTTGTCTCAGATTCAGATTTCATGTACCCCTTTCCATTCTCAACGGAATTTGTATTTAAAAATATATGTTGTCGTGTACTATAAACGTGACAAGATAGAAATACTTTTTAGACTTAAAACTTATTTTATTCCTGTACAGAAAATACAAAAAAGTTTTGAAGTTTTGGGGGTGTTTTTGACCAGTGTTTGACAATATATATATATATATATATATCAATGTATCTCCTTAATGAGAGTTCACTTCTCTAAGGGTACAGAATCGCTGGTCTATGCCGCAATTTGTAATTTCAATCGAGTAATTAAAATTGTGGAACACTCGTGATATTTAACCCTTTAAATCTCAATGGTTACTATAGAGACCACATGTTTTAACAAACAAAAACTCTATGTAGTGCATTTATGTGTTTAATTTTGTTCTCACAATAAATACAAATTATTTTCCCAAACATCATTAACTGGTTGTTCTTTGTAGCGGTGATATAATGTGTTTCCTGTTAGGAGAATTTCAATCTTTAAAGGGTTAATTTAAATTCATTTGGGAATATTCTTTAAATTAATTTCCATTCCTTTATTAAGATGATCGAGGAAATACAGCATATATTTTTATTAATCCGCAATCAAAATAATTTTCTTTCAATTATCCCAGATATATTTTTACTCTGCCTGATTCATATTCCTTTGACATGATTTATAATATTTTAAAATTAAATTGTGTCGATCATTTTACGTCGGCATTTGTTTTTATAATCTCGTTATATTAGACCTATAATTCAGGTAATGTCATTATATGATAAGTTTAAAATAGAGGTTTTATACATTTTCATTGAAACACATAAAATAATAGGTTCTTTTGATAGATTATGTTTCTTCTGATGATATACAATTGTTTTAAGTGTAACTGACATCACACACATTTCCGAGCAAGTCATCAGTTTTATTCACATGTTGAGAAAATATCACACACGCTGTTGTGGAAAGAGTTATTCAGGAGTTTAGTGTCTGAAGCATATGGCTCACACACAGACACACACACACACAACCATCACATGTGAGTACACTTTCATTTCACGTTTGGTAGCAAACATTCCATTTTCTCTTCTTTGAAGTCGAAACACCTTAAGAAAGTACCAAAATCCTCGGCTCTTAAAACGTCTGTGTCCTTAATGATCGATTGTCCTATGAGTTAACGCTGCAGATGAGTCTGGTTTACACCCAACAGATGGGACTCGTTGGAGAAAATAAGGAATTCAGATATATTGCTCCCAACATAATTGTCAAGCTTCTGCGGTAAGGTACAAGTAACATATCTTATTTTAGAATGCTCTGTTCTCTTTTACATTGCTACTTACCCTAGGCAACCCAAAGAAATAAAAAATAACATACATATTTCAAATTGTACGCAGAAATGAAACTCGAAGATGAATTCTATCTGTTGGGATATAACGCCGTGTCTTCTGTTGAAAGTTCAGAGCAGACTCCGCTTGCAACCTGTTTTCACACTGGTTTCTTGATTGGTTTATTCTTTCGAAAGTGAAGATGGAGGCGATATTTTCCTCCGAAACGTCGGTTGATTTTCAACGGACTACACGGCGTTGTACACCAGAAGAAAGAACTCTTCAATCCTACTCTGGGCATAATAGGCGTCTTTTAAGTTGTTCTATTATTTGACAAAAAATAATAATATTAAATTTAGTTACTTTAAGGATCTGCTCAGCATATGGATCAAGTAACGTTTTCACAAGCACCAGGGACCTGTTCCGGGTATAAATATGTAAGTCGTCTCCTTGAAACTTCTGCAATTGATTATACTGCTACAGCAAGCTTGGCATCCGGTTTGTAGGTATTGTTTAGAAATATTCTAACCAATTTAGTGACAGAGGGGTGGTGGCCAGGACATGTAGCATGAATGGGGGAGAAGAGGAATGCATATAGGATATTGGTGGGAAAGCAAGAAGGATGGAGACCACTGGGAAGACCAAGACGTAGGTGGGTGGATAATATTAAAAATAGATCTTAGAGAGATAAGATGGGATGGTACACATTGGATTGATCTGACCCAGGATAGGGACCAGTGGAGGGCTCTTGTGAACATGGTAATGAACCTTCGGGTTCCATAAAATGCTGGGAAATTCTTGAGTAGCTGCACAATTGGCGGCTCCTGATAAGACGGCAACTCATCTGGGGTAAGGAAACCTGAAGAAATGCCATTGGAAAACCGACTCTACAGATAAGGCGAAGACAATCTGTCTACATTGAAACCTTAAGAGGATAACTTAGTTATTTCAGTCTTTTTTTTTAATTCGCTTAGTGCGGGGTGGAGTTCAACTGGGTCCACTCGGCACGGCAGCCAGTGATTGGTCCATTGTAGCCTGCCCCGGGTGATTATGATGGAGAACTTGGTGGAATAAGATTGGCAGGGGAAATCGAAGAAAACCCACCCCAGCGCCACTTAGTCCACCACAAATCCCACTTGACCAAACCCCCGGGATCGAACCCGGGCCGCCGCGGTGGGAAGCCAGCGACTAACCGCTTGAGCTATGACGCGGCCTATTTCAGTCTTATGTTTCAATGATTGCGTGGCTGTTGCCACTATGCCACGTGTCATGCAAATGCTTCCGTTGTTATTACCTGAGGATGGTCACGTAAGACTGAATCACACTAACGCGAACAAGATATTGAAACATTGCAGAGCCACAATAGCATCGCGAAGATCCAAATGTTTAAACAGTTGTATCACTAACGCTGGAAAAGTAGCAGCTAAGTAACTTATCAATGCATAAGGATGCTTAAATATATTTCTTTTTTCTTTCGCGCTACAGCCCCAGTGGGCCTAGGCCTACCTCCATGAAACTCTCCGTTTCACTTCGGTTTTACTAGATCTTAGACATATGGTATGACTCCTTGGGCGGGTGATCAGCTCGTCGCAAGGCCTCTACCTGTACACAAACACAGAAAAACGCACACAAACATCCATGCCTTGAGTGGGATTCGAACCCACTATCCCGGTTTCCGAGCGAGTGAAGACAGTGCATGCCTTAGACCGCTAAACATAATATTGCCGACATAAACCAACTGGGTCTCCAGTTTGGGTGTTCTGCTATGAGCTGGTTTTATAAAGTGAAGAAGGGAGTTCCGAAATATATTTATCTAAATTGTATTTATTTATACAAGAACATTTTCTAATTTGTATTAAGAATGTAGATTGTGACGTACAGATCCATTGCTAGGCAACAAATCAGTAAGCACATTCCCGCGGGAGCCAACGTGCCAACAACAGGGCATCCATTGCCAGATTCATGCCCTGAGTGGGATTCGAACCCACGATCCAAATTTCCAAGCGAGCGAAGACAGTACATGCCTTAGACCGCTCGGCTACCGTGACCGGAGTTTCTGTAGTTTAGGACTTGATATTTCTATGTAACTGACAATGTTTTAGTTCAACTTGCATGAATTCCATTTAGGCAGGACTTCCTGCTAATTAATAGACACGTAATTTAAACCTCTAAAATGAGAAAAAGATTTTTTTTCCTTGGCACTACAGCCCCAGTGGGCCTAGGCCTACCTCCATGAACTTCTCCGGAGAAAAAGATTAATTCACAGGATTCTGTCTCCCTCCTCTTCTCACAATTATGTTGAACTCATCTTACTGCAACTCTTGAAACGCGCAATATTCCCTTGTGTCGATAAAGTCTTTAATGTTCCATTCGAGCATAGAACTGTCTTTTGTCTACAGAAATATGACCTTCTGACTGTACCATGAGCAATATTACTCAGTTCGCCGAACAACGGAAAATTTAACGCCTGTAACTTTGTTCATCAAATTTTCCTGCTAAATCGTTTTGTTGAGGTTGGAGGATATATAGGCTCACATCACAGGATTGAAATAACCCAAGAGAAATTCATCACAGAGAAATATATTCCATCATTCCTAAAGCCTTATACCCACTAAACTCTGCTAAAATGTTCTTTCAGCTGTCCGCTGCATATGAGATCATACCTACATTTCGTTTAGAAAGTTCATGCCTAAACTTATTTCAATAAACCACTATATCACCCTGTAATATTACGATTTCTCGTTTGAGTTTGACCGAAAATTCTGCAAACCTACAAGGGATAATGAAGTTGGAGATATAAAACTTCATAGATTTTAAAGCGACCAAAGTTAAATTATTTTCTAGATTAATAACAGAGTAATACATATAAAAGCAGCAACTGATAGTATGTTCCTCCATTTTGTAGTATTCATGATATATACGTGGATAATGAGGACTGTCAAAAGATCCAATTGGCCTAATATTGTGACGTGTATATCCATTGCTAAGCAATGACTCGGTGAACACCCTCCGGCGCGAGAATAGGACGTCTATTGCTAGGCAACGAATCAGAAAATACGCCTCATTAACAGAGGTTGTGTTTCCTGTAGGGTCCGTGCAAAGTTGTTATAAGGAAGAGTTCGGCAGTATACAACAGAGGGATTCCCGTGTGGAGGCGGGGTTGAATACCTGCACCGTGACCCTGCGAGTCGTAGGAGGCGACGAAAAGGGAAGTCTCAAATCTGAGACAGTAAAATATGGCCGCGAGTCCCAAGGGATTCGGACCCGAGAAAGACTGCGCTGGCAAGGTCCAGCATCATATACAAAAGGCAGACCCGTCCTCTCGTCAGAGAAGGCGCCCCACAAAAACAAGACCGTAAATGTCAAACAGTAATAAATATCTTGTCATGATCCCAAGATGGGGCTCGACACCAAGACTTACTGACTGACTGACCGTCAGTCGCAATGTGACTTGGACTTGGACTATACAACAGAGACAAGAGTCCCCCCTTGTGGAGGCGGGGTCGAATGCCTCCACCGTCATACTGTGAGTCGTACGAGGCGACAAAAAGGGAAGTTTCAAATCTTAAACAGTAAGATATGGTCGCGAGTGCCAAGGGACTTGGACCCGAGAAAGACTAACTGTCAAACAGTAATAAATATCTAGTCATGAGCCCCATAAAGACTTACTGACTGACTGACTGACTGACTGACTGACCGTCGGTCGCAATGTGACTTTGACTTCTAGAGAACAGAGTCGAGTCGAGCGAATTGGGGCCTCGGGACCCCAGCCTCCCAGGATATGAGCGTGGGAGCAGAGGATTTGAGCTGAGTCCAGTCTTCAGAATTGACAGTTGCAGAATAACGGCAAGAAAGGCATTAGACTGTGCAAAGAAGGCATCATGTGTGATTTTAAGTTACGGTAAGACGGGTATAAATCTGTTGCCAGGATACGACTAGTGTAGACTGAGGATCGTAGTGCGTGTGTAACCGTGAACTGTAAAGTTTATAGAATATCGACAACGCTGTACTGCCTCTAGTCACGAGTACTGTGTTAAGGTGTCAATAAATCCAGTCATCCAATCCAAAGACAAATGCTCTATCAGGGGTTTCCGTGACTAATAACAATGGGTTCTGGATTTGATGATTGGGTTTACTGACACTTCTTTACATTTACAGTTGATTATAACAGCTGAAACATAGTAGAACTCCGTCTTAATGACGTATGTCTTAGAACTCTGTCCGAAGAATCTCTCACTGCTGCCTGAGCCTTGGCCTGGTCACTATTCTCTGCACTACTCCTCGAATTTACGAAGCCACTGCCTTCTATAACTGCCTGAGCACCTACAGATCACCGCCTCCACGGGCTCCATTACTGCGTTGTCTCGGAAACTACGTATTAATTAGGGGCAACGCTTTGATTCCTCCGAGCTTTTTCGTTATCGCGAAATGTGTTTTCACAATCCGTTGTCTAGCAATGGATTATTTCGTCACAATATATTTCACACAGTAATGGTAGTGATACAATGAAGCTGGATTTGGTATTTTGTTTTGTAGCGTGTTGCAGGAAAGTTCATTCAATTTAATGCACTAAAAATTTCGATCCTGTTCACCCTTGAACTGGATCTTAGGCTTATAAAATGGTCAAGGACTCTGAGCTTTCGTTGCAATATGACAACGGAAGTAATGCTACTTAAACTCCTAAACTTCGGGCTGATGTCCCATTCACATGTGCCTAATGAAGGATTCTGTACCCAGGGAACACAGAATCGTTGTCAGGAGGAACGTAACGCGTTATTTACTGATACACTGCAGAATTTCCTTAAGTAGTTTCTCAAATGTGTCTTAAAAGCGAAAGGAAAAAATACGTTCCAATATAATTTTGCGCTTGCCTTGAAGCTTTAAAAATCGATTTATTAAACTGGATCTTGTGGAATGTAATAATTCAGAAAATACGGTTATAAATCTCAGTGCGATAATAAAACGTTTATCTTCTAAAATAAAATCCGTCATTAGAGTAACTTCGGGCGCAATATGTGTGAGCCTCCTGGTTAGGTTCACGCTTCTGTGGAACACAATTTTTAAATTACGACTTTTTTATTCCGGTCTCATATATAAGTTGCAGGGAGAAATCATTATGAGGTATGAAACACTGATGGGATCAGAACTAATTTCAGAATAACTTCGTGGGTAGGGAATCTGTATCAACATAGAAATTTGAACTTCTCTCGAGTATCTCATAGTTGCTCAGCTATTCAAATTCTCCACCAATCTCGAACCTTAAATTTATTATCTTTTCATGTTTGTTGCAACTTATTGTGTAAATCGATATAGACAGGAATATTATAAATATTATGTATAGTTCAGTATCATGTCCTCAAAAATCCGCCACTGATTACTGTCTTCAGCCAGATTAATCCATTTCGCATCCCCAAATCCCATATTATAACATTCATTATAATATTATCCTACCATTCACGTCTAGATCTCACAACTGGCTACTTTCCTTCGTGGTTTCCGGCTACATATGCATTTATTACGTTTCTCAAATTTCCCATATTCTCTGCTTTTCTGCTATTACAAACATAAACAGCAAATACACGTATGTTGATGAATACTGTATTCTGCGATAAAACCTCCTATAGCCGGTATGAGTTCACTGACGTTTTGGAGAGCCGTACAGCCTACATCTTGAGGTTTCGAAGAGCAAACGAAACAATAAACCACAATCATTCGATGCTTGCTTATTGTTCTCTTCTTCCTTGACTTGTTGGTCTTGAAGATGGAGAAAACGGTTTTCCGAAACGTCAGTGAACCTTCATCGGGCTACATGATGTTACATATCAGAAACTCAGATAAATTTCTCTCAAAAATTTCATTCATGCTTTGTCAGTTCTTGAATACCATACATATAAAAGAGAACAGAACAAACTATGGCAAGACAGTACACTTTAAAATTACAGTAACTCACCGTACTGTTCAGTCTTCCTCACCGAACCCGCCAGCATACTGTTTGCTTTACATTCTTCGTGGTGTCGTTATGTTGCTTCTTCATATACGAAACTCTCTGCACGAACACGCGATAACCGCTCATACTGAATAGCACATGAGCGTTACATTGAAACGAAAGCCTCCGCTCAATGGAGACCTCTTTACAGATTGCTGAAATGCTGATTACGTACTTTTCAGTATTTAGGAGACTCGTCAGCAATTAGAACGGGTAAAGTCAATTTTTTGAAGTCCCGGAAACCGATGCGATTCAAGCTCCGTGCGCTGTGGTAGTTAGCACTGATTACAGATGACGATGATTAAGTCATGTGGAGAGTAGGAGTGACGTCATAGCCGCAACGATGACGACAGAGGCACTGCACTGGCTCGAGGACCCTTTCACTGAATAAGAGAAGAAAAATGGTATTAATTCGGTGATGAGAAAGGAGGCAGATGGAATTTCATAACAACGCTTTAAGGCATAGTGTTTTTTTTTAATGCAAGCGGGGTGGGACTAAGTCCCTTGTACTGCGGCCACTTCTGGCCTATTGTACCAGCCCCAGATGATAGGTGAGGGTGATTGTGGAGCAATTGGTGGAATGAAGATTGGCAGGGGAAACCGAAGGACTCGGAGAAAACCTGCCCCAGCGCCACTTCGTCCACCACAAATCCCACTTGACCAGACACGGGATCGAAGCCGGGCCGCCGCAGTGGGAAGCCAGCGACTAACCGCTTGAGCTACGGCGCGGCCCAAGGCATAGTGGTCACAATATGCACTACTTACTTTAACATGAATAAAGGTAAAGTTGTCCCTGTACTTAACTAATTAAGCACTACGCCATGAAGACGTATGGGGGAATGGTTGTGTAGACCCACGTTTTCTTGACCGCAGCGCTAGCTGGAGCTGAGTGGTCAACTTTACGCCCCGACAGCTTTACACATTGGACAGGAGGTTGCTCACAGAGCTTCTTATACAATTGGTAAGGTGAGTTGTTTCCTCGAGGGGAAAGCGGCCGGGGCTAGTGTTGAGGTTAATAATGGTGGAGCTATACCTCTACTCCCCCCTTGTATTCACGGCGTGAAGCTATATCTATCCAATCCAACTGTACCCTTTACGCAGTAACCCCTCTGTTCAACTTCTATTAAGTGACACAACAAAGTCCATTTCCTACAGTTTCCCTTCTTCACCTACTAAAGGTCTGAGGCTGTGCCATAGCTCAAGCGGTTAGTCGCTGGCTTCCCATCGCGGCGGCCCTGGTTCAATCCCGGGTCAAGTGGGATTTGTGGTGGACAAAGTGGCGCTGGGGCAGGTTTTCTCCGAGTACTTCGGTTTCCCCTGCCAATCTTCATTCCACCATTTACTTCACAATCATCCTCACCTATTATCTGGGGCTGGTACAATAGGCCAGAAGTGGCCACAGTACAAGGGACTTAGTCCCACCCCACTAGCAATACTAAAGCTCTGCCCTCTTTCAAACCCACCTCTACCAGAAGGCGAAGCGAGCACTGCCTAGGAACCTTCAAAGTAGGAAATTTTTCCCTGTTGTACCCCTAAGGTCTAAAATGTATGCCCTGACTGGTTACTCACTTTCTCTTGTCTTCTCTCTCTCTCTCTCTCTTTCCATGCTTCATTGAACTGAAGTACCTGCCTTTACAATTTCATACAGGATTCTATAACAGTTTTTACCACAAAATCTAATTCATTAAACCTCAAATCATAATTCATATTGCCCCCCCCCATGATGTATACTTAATATATGTGACGTTTCGGATGTTAGCTATTCTATCGTCTTCATATTACATTATCTCGTCACACAATTCTGTAGGGTAGACTTCTGGTTTAGCTGGTGAAGCAATTCCGTGCCTTCACTGAAAGTACAGGTTCACTGCCGTGCGCACGAGACCTCGTCATCAGAACCCATCGTGTGCCAAACCACACACTAACGACCAGTTGACTTAGGATCGATTTCATTACTATCCTCCCATTTATTTCTTGGTTTCCCAGAGTAATGTCTTCCATTTGCGTTTTAAGGCTATATATCTGGTTAAGGTAAGGCAATTTTTTGAAAACGTATACAACAACATAAATTATTCATTTTCAGTCTATAAAAGAGTTAGTGTCATTAAATAATGAGGTAAAAAGGTAAGATAAAGGTAAAAAGTTATCCCTGTGCTTAATTAATTAGGCGTGGGGTACGCGGAAGCGTAGTTGGTTGAGGCACTATGCTACAAACCGGAATATCGCGGGATCGAATCCCGATGAGGTGGTTATTTTCAATTTACCTAATCCTTCCAACCGCAATATGGGCCTGGGGTCGACTCAGCCTCTAACAGAAATGAGTACCACGAATCTTCCTGGGGGGTAAAAGGCGGCCGGCGCGTAAGGCTGACGACCTCACCGCCATCTTTGAGCCGATTGTCTAGAAAATGTGGGAGCCTCAACGTCTCACAACCCTATGGGCCTTCACCGCCTGTTACAGGGATACATTTACTTTTTTACAATGAAGGCTTATGAGGGAGTGGATGTAAGGTCCGCATCGCTAAATAATTAAACGTGTTCAAATTGAATCGTTACTGGTAGTTGCAGAGATTAATTATGAACAGGGTTTAGCGTTGGTCAACTTTTCATCTGATGCTGCCAATATCTCAGGATAAATGCGAGTGGTAGGACGAACAGAAGGAAGCAGTTGTGGCCTATCGAGGCACTATCACCAAATTTCCTTGGAGGGACTGAAGAAGACCAGGATAGCTGGTGCGTCAGCCGATATTCGACTCAGTATCTCTATAATACGAATCTAGATCATTACCGCTACATCAGCACGCTGAATGCTCAATTTTAATCCAAATCCACCAATATTAATTAATTTATATTTGAGAGATTCAGAATGTTATAATTTCATGCCAATTTTGAATACGCACGGCGTGTATTTGCTATCGAATCCAGTATTAGATCAGAAATAATCCAATTCGCCAAAACGGCATCAATCATTTTCGCGTTGGTCAACAAACTGGGTTACTGTCCCGGCAAGTTGTTAACAGACTGTTCGCTAACGATCCCAGCCATGGTGCGTGTGATTCATTGTGCAATTTAAACAGTACACAATTTCAGAAACATATCACATGTAAACGGTTAATAATTGAAATTGGCGGTTCCATGGACCTATTTATCGCTTCAATAAACAGGGAACAAAAATATACTGGATAATTTCTGAAACTATTTAACCAATTCGCCTGATGTTTATAAACAAACACACCAAATACCCTTGTACTAATTAATTTTATGCTTTATATCTATTACGATACTGATCAGAGCGAAACTTGCATCTCCCTGCATAATAAAATTGATATGGTGCTGCGTGAGATTATGGTAACACAGCGAACCACGTGCTACTAAGTCTGCTTGTAGGTAGATCTCCTACTAACAGTCTGTAAGCAGTTTGCATTATTTGCTTGAATTTTTTTTTCTTATAAATTCTACTTCAAGTCATGTACATTTCTTTTTTTATTTTTTACTTTCAAATTGCATTATTTTGGGAAGAGAGTCAGAAAATAACACCTAGCCAGAGGGTCAGTATAACCGTTACAATTTATGGACGAATGGTCACAGCCTAAACTGCAATTAATGTTCTTTCTAGTATAATCGCTGCCTCTGATGTGAAGGGGAGTGTCTGTAACAGATTTCAGTATCGATAACCTTAAGTTTACTTTACAATTCATTATCTGTATTAGTACTCCATTTTTCAAGATTATGAATAACCAGTACAGCCCAATCGGTTGAACGAGACAAAAATACACAATCCCAGAAACTGCAAAGGAAAATATTGACCATCCAAATGACTACAATCATCTCAGGTCAGTATACAGAATGATTCGAAATTATGGTCGGGGTTTCCTTGGCCTGTAATTTTCAAACCGGGAACAACAAAGCAAATCTGCTTACGCGCCAAGAAAGGCGCGCATGTTAAAGTTGTTTAGCATTCTACAGCATTATCTGTAGAACTAATAAAACGTTTTGAGTTACGCTTTCACATTCCGTAAACAGTTTTATTGTTTGTTTGTTTGTTTTCTTTTTTGAAAATATAGGCCACGGAAAACCCGACAATTTAGAATCGCTCTGTATTACCGTACCTAGTAGCAGGGCCTCTCGGATGTTCTTTTCTATTAGTGGCGACACTCTTTGTACGACACTCTCGCGGTCTCCTTGCCACAGTATCGGCGAGACACTCGCCACGCAGCGAAGATTCATGCTGCCGTCGAGGAAGTGGTGGCTTGTCACCGTGAACTGGAGTCCCAGCGTCGATACCAGCAGGCCATGCTGGTGTACCAGTGGAGGATATGACACCAGGGCATCGGGTGACGTCACCTGCAGACACGAAGCATACATTCATTTTTTAACTTTTCGATGAAGCAGCATTTGCTAAACAGATTATATCTGTAGAAATTTCGTAGCGTAGAAACCTGTTAGGAATCACGGCTGGGGCCACTGGAAATGAAGTTAGAGGACAATACTGAACGAGTTACTAAAGGAAGAGACAAGAAAACTGTGGACTCCATTTAACTGGATGTTGGGTAGGTCGTGAGTAGCTGCAAAATTGGCGGGATTCTTAACAAGGGCTCAGCTCGTCAAGTTAGATAATATGACAACTATTTCGTAGTTTTGTAAACCCCTCTACCAGGAAACGTTGAGAAAGTGCCATAAAATAGGCCAAGTCCACTTTTCCAGTACATTTTACAATCAATTTTCATAATAAAAAAATATGCATTCGAGTAACGTGCATTTGGAAACAAATGTTCATCCAATGATCTACCAATTATAATCCGTATAGTTATAAATATAGTCAAACCGAAGAAAATTATTCAGTTTTCATTCCAATCAGATTAAAGTATGTGTTATGTTATTGTTTCTCCAACGTAGTTGTATATACGTCTACAAAGTTATAACGATGAAAACTGGTAAAGTATATGCCAGAGCTTGGTATTAACTGACATAAGCTTAGTACAAAAAGATTTTTTTCCCTGTGCTAAGTTAATGAGGCACCAAGCTATGGAGACGTATGGGAGAGTGGAGATATAACTCCAGCAATCTTTCCCTTGGCAACAGATGAAGTTCAGGGGCCTGATTCACAAACCAAAAATTTTACCCCTGTGGATAAGATCTTCATAGCCATTGGATAGGTGGTTGGGTAAGCCCCAGAGCCGGTCTCCACGCTGTGAAGAAGAGAAAAATAACTTTCATCTGCCGGGAACCGAACCCCATCCGTACAGTTCGTAGACCGCCTCTATACTGACTGAGCTACCTTGAAGCTTAGTATAGAACTGAACTGTTCAGGGTTTATTATGGTTTAACAACATTACGATAAAACATGAAAAATTTCAAAACTATCTTTTCTTTTTCAGAAATGGAAGTGTCATAAAAGTTAGATTGTGACCGTGAAATCTTCCGTGAGAAATGTTTACTGATGCGATGTTGTTTTCTGGGACAGGGCAGTCCATCTTCACGCTACATTCTGGAGTTAGTCGTGGCCTGTAAAGGGAAACGTGTTCCAGCCTTCAACTGTCCACTGTTTTAAAAATGAACTTCAGGTGACAGAACAATTTGATTCCCCAACATGGGTCCATTTGTTACGGACGGAGGACATATACTCGATTGCACCAGTGAATAATGACCCAGCTTACAAGTGCAGTTTGAACTACAAGACAGCTTCCGCTAACCAATATTTCTTTACGTTCCTTGCAAACAAAGACAGACAGTTACAACAGACAGGAGACATGAACAAGTGGGGCCTAGGAGATCGAACTGTAAAGTTGGCAATTCTGTAAGGAAATGGCGTGACATTCCTCTAGGTGCAATTCCAACAGCTCTACTTTGACACAAAAATGTATTTAAAACTGCGAACTTTAATTTCATATTTGCTGTCCCCCCCCCTTTTTGTATATTATTTAACATCGCTTTCAATAGCCGCAGATGGTACGGTGACAGATTAATGATAATTCGAAAAGATCTGTAAGGACGCGTGAAGGGTTTTTTCCAATCCTCGAGGCTATACAGTCTCGACGGGGCATGCGGTTGAGGCACTATACTACATGCCGCAAGACCCGCGTTCGATTCCCGATGAGTCCACTGGATTTTTCAAATGATCTAATCCTTCCAGCTGCACTATGACCCTGGGATCGACTCAGCCTCTAACAGAAACGAGTACCAGAATAGTCCTGGGGGTAAAGGGCGGCCGGCGCGTAAGGCTATCTGTGAGCCAACTGTCTAGAAAATGTGGAACCATCAACGTCTCACAACCCTATGGGTCTCCAAGGCCTGTTACAGGGATACCTTTACTTTGTTATTCTCGAACTGAGGACTATCTTTTTCCGATAATTAAATGGAAAATTCGCCCAAATACTTCGGGCATTTGGTACTGAAAAGGACATGCATGTATGGTACTACTATTGCTTTTAACCTCTTGATATTATAGGGATAGGTTGAAATATAGACCGGGAAAGTGCTGCTTATTGCCAAGAGCACCTCTCTACGCTCAAAAAAACAACTGGAGAACATGAAGGTAGATTTTTCCGTAGTCATGAGAAACGGTAAGATCAAAGCTAACTGCAGCAAGCAGACCGTCCTCAAGTGCCTCCAGTGCCTGGGTGCTCTGCCCCAGCTTCTGTGTTCCTATGTCGGCTGTACAAACAAAAAGGGAAAGCTGTACTCCAGAAGATGGTACATATTTCACAAATGCGTCCTTTTTTTTTAATTTTCATGCATCGCTTGAGATGAGAAATGCATACAAATGGAATAAATCTCGAAGAGAAATAACCGCTTGGAAGAACTAGAGGTAGATGAAAGCGTAATATTAAGATTGGTCTGCAAGACATTGAGGTTCTGAGTGTGAAATGGATTAATCAGGCTCCTGTTAAAGTTCATTTGTAGGTACGACTCAGCACGATGTGATGAGGGTCATTCTGTTTTCTTTATAGAGTTACGTGTTTATAATCTGTTATTTTGAATATAAGAATATATTTTTGAAGACAAATCTTCGTAAGGTACCTGGCCATATTTTTTAAATATTATATTTGTTTTCCATTTCGTTAAATATATTAAACACTAAAAATGTTTCAAAGAAAATTTACGTGTCTAATTTAAATTAATATATTATTCTGTGTATTAAGAATTTAAGCACTTCAAGGACTTATTTGAACCTGTACATTTTAGAATTAAATTACAGCAATAGATAGTGGAATAATTATAATTAAACAGGACCCTTAAGGTAAACAAAAGAACGAAGCAACCACTATGAAATTACAAAAAAAAAAAAGAAACAAACTCCGTGGTTTTAGTCCGCAAGCGAACTATACCGACCGAGCGACCGCCGCTTGTCGGCGAAGTTAGTGTCAACGTTTTGCGGATAGAGGGTGTCACGTGGTCAGCGTAACGAATCCCCAAGGCCGTTAATTTCGGTTTTCTAGACCGGATTCTAAAATACAATACACTACCGAAAATAACAGACTGTGCAGTGGCAGATTTACCAGGTTCAACCAATGTTAAAACATTAAGGAATGAGAAGCTGCCAATTGTGCAGCCACTCAAGAACTTCCCAGCATTTTATGGAACCCTAAGGATTATTATCGTGTCCACAAGAGCCCTCCACTGGTCCCTATCCTGAGTCAGACTATTCCAGTCCATACTACCCAATCCTACCTCTCTAAGAACCCTTTTCATATGCGTATTATCCACCCACCTACGTCTTGGTCTTCCTAGTGACCTCTTTCCTTCTGGCTTTCCCTTCAATCTCCTGTATGCATTCCTCTTCTCTCCATTCCTATGGCAGCACCACTGGTTGTGGAGACTGGCTGTAGAGGAGACCAAGGCTCGCCCAGGGCTGTAGCGCCGAGTGGTAGGTAGGTAGGTAAGTAGGTAGGTTTGTTGGTAGGTAGGTGCGAAATACACACTTGACGAAAAGCCAGGCATATGTACATGAGATAAATCCATCCTCTCATCAGAGAGGATGTTACGTAAGGACTATTACCGCAAGAGACTTTGAACCAGGTCAGTCGCAGTTGTAAAGTAACTCTGAACAGAAGACAGAAAATAGGAAAGAACAGCAGAAGAGAGGCCTGTCCCAGTCCAGCCAGAATGGAGCGAGTTTTAGGCAGTCATTTATGGTGAATTATTACAATTGACTGTGACTTACAGAAATTGTATAAAATGTGTTAATAAAGCCAATCATCTAACCCAAAATCTTGTTTATTATTTTTTTACTCGCTTAGTGGGGGGTGGAGTCCAACTGGGTTCACTCGGCACGTCGGCCACTGATGGCCTATTGTAGCCTGCCCCGGGTAATTATGATGGAGCATTTGGTGGAATGGAAATTGGCAGGGGAAACCCAAGTACTCGGAGAAAACCCGCCCAAGCGCCACTTAGTCCACCACAAATCCCATTTAACCAGACCCGGGCCGCCGCGGTGGGAAGCCAGCGACTAACCGCGTGAGCTATTAGT